GATGCTGCCAGTTCCCTCCAGGATCTTTTCAAGCCTCCATCCCGTCTGGAGGCCTTGGACAGCAGTGATGCATCTCTCACCGTTTCCAGACCAGCCCCCTGGGGGCACACACACAGGGCAGACTGCTCACCCCAAGAGCCCCAGCTCAGCAGAACACAGCTCAGGCTCCGTTGTCTTTTGAAGTTTTTATTTTTATACATTTTTTTTTGTATTAAAAAGGAAAAAGCATAATTACCACAAATTACAAAGGACTAAAGCATTACTAGAATAATGAATCACATCAGCCTAGAAAGCAGATACTCTGAATAATATTAATGTTATAATACAAGCTCTCATTCAAGTATTTTACATTTTTTTTTCCTCTTTTCCTTTTATACGTGATGATGATCCTAGCACATGGGTCAAAGATTATGTACTATCGACAGAAGATGGATCATGTACAGCGGGGCCATATTAACAAGATTTTTCCTCCCAGGTGATACATGGTCTGTGATGAGTCATTTTAGGTTTGTCTCTACGATAAATGCAGCTGAAGAAGGTTGCACACACTTTCTAGTCTGGGGGAACAGAAGGCTGAGGTTGGGACACACACGGGGTTGGAGAAGGGCCAGCACATGGAAACATCGCCCCTTTTGCTCCAGGTGAGCGCGCAGCTCGATGAGGGGTTCTGAGCCACGCATCTAAAGGTTTCCAGCCCCAGTGGGACCAGGACAGGAGGAGGAGGAGGAAGAGGAGCAGGGCTGCTCTGGGGAGGCTCGAGGGCCCAAGAGGTGCCACTTGGGCTGTCACCCAGAGGGTAAACCACAGGGGACAGTGCAGGGACCCAGGGTGCTCCCTGCTCCCTCTGGAGCTTCCCACTGAGGGGATGTGCTTGTCACAGATACATCGGTCCTATGTTCAAGTGTCTGCAGAAAGTGAACTGTAAACTACTCATTGAAACGCTGCCCCCAGCCCCCCGCCCCCGAGATGAATGTTGTCTTTACAATAAGAAACAGAAAAGGAGAAAAGGAAGTAATCCATCTATTACCTGTACTGGAAACTTGGAGGGGGGGGAGCCCAAAGAAAAGAGTCAGTGAGGCATTTAACACCAAGTGTAGCAACCCTCTCTTAAAAAAGAGCCTAGCAATCCATTTCAGAACAGTGACAAAGGGACATAACCAGCCTTGGAGGAGATGGGGAAATGAGCGTTGCAAACACAGCTTGCTACATGTACAGTTTTCCTTTTTTTTTTTTCTTTTTCCTTTTTCTTTTCCTTTTGATAGGATAACTGGAAAGGCATTAACAGCTAAAGGCCCCCTCTGCTCTGCACGTACGGACGCGTGGCAGGATGCTGAGGTTAACACATCGTATTGTTACAGTACAATCGACCAGTCCCGAGCAAGACGAGCAGTTGTTTTAACTCGAGGGACCCCGAGGGCTACAGTGGCACCACTGAGGTGCGAGGGGGGCAGCAGAAGAGGGACAGGCAGGCAAATGGAGCAGCAGGATTATTACTTTAATTTATACCCCCCATCTCCCCCTAGATGAACATGGCAAAGCAATAAAGGCCCCTCCAAACACACCTCCTACCTCCGTGCCAGGGCTCTGTACCTGTTGCAACTGCCTGCATCCCAAAGGCGGGCTGACCCCGCAAGGAGCCCTGGGCTGTAGCAGCCTGGATGTCCCAGGAAGAGGGGTGAGATGGGGAGTGCTCCCCATGCTCTGCATCCCCCAGCCTGCCTGAGGGCAGCCAGGGCTCCCCCTGACTGTGCTGGTGCCACCAGCACCACGCAGCCCGTGTGAGCTGCGGGATGGAGCTGCGCTCACAAGAGGTTGCCACTGGGACCACTAGGATTAAACACAGCACAAATATGATCATGGGCAAGCATCCAAGCTAAAGGCAAGGCCGAACACAGGAGGGCAAGAGCTTCCTCCACAGCACAGCCCCTCTCTGGACAGCCTGCGGTGGTGCGAGCAGTGCGCGACGCCTTCTGCATGCAGCTCTGCAGACCTGTCCCCTATGCAAGCCACAGGACAGGGGGAAGCCTCGCTGCAGTCAGCCCTGGCACTGACCACACGCTGCACAGGGGCTTTGCCATGGCCACCAGCAGCAGAGGGGTGCACGACACCATGGAGCTGTGACCGGTGGGCACTGCGCCCTGATGTGACCAGCCCTGAGACAGAGCTGTCAGCAAGCCACGGCTCTCACATCCTTCTTTCCCTGGCTACGCTGCTGTCCACAGTGAAACAAGGCACACGCTCCACAAAGCTGGAGGGCGATGGGACCACTGGGGTTGATGTTCTGATCCACCTCCCCCTGGGAAACAGGGGAGCGGATTCACAGAGCCCTCAGCCCCACTGATGCGACAAACCAGTGACTCAGCAGAACAGGGGAAGCCTCACCTGTGCCAAGAGCCTCAGCCTCAGAAAGTAAAGAATAATTTAAAATCAATTCAGATTTGGGGAAGTTCTCTGGGAAATTTCTTCTCTCTTCTACCACGCGAGCAATTCCAGTCTGCTCCACAAGCACTGACTCCACAGCAGCAGCTCCCTCCTCCTCACTTCCTATTTCATTTGTGGCTAAAACGCAGACAGTTGGCTTTGAAAGAGAACACACACTGACAAGGAACACGGACACGGCAGCAAGGACCACCCCTGGCACATCCAGACCTGCTTCAACTTGCAAACAGCCAGCAATGCATCTCCAGTGTCCTTGATCAACCCCCATCTCTGAGGCTTCTCCTTCCCAGATTGAAGCAAACCCAGCTGCATCTGTAACCTCAGAGATCTGACTCCATCCAGCTCACAAGAGAGGGGAAACCCAGGGATAACAGTCATGGCCACAGCACTGTACAAGCGTTACTTGCCTGTCTTGCCCAGTTACCACCCTGCAATCCCAGAGCACTGCTGCTGTAATGGAGCAAGCCCCAACAGGCTGGTGTGCTGAAACAGGGCCTGTGAGCGGTACCAAGCTGCAGGGTGGTGGGGCAGAGGTGGACAGACCAGGGCAGGATCACACCATCAGGAAAACAGCAACGTAGCAGCTACCCTCACTCAAACCCAGCTGTGCTTTCAGTTCCAGCAGCAGTTCACAACGCTGCCCCCCGCCTGCCCCATCACCAAAGCAGCACCTCTGGCGCAGTGTCAGTTTGGGAAGGTGACAACTTCACCCAGAGCCCCATGAGCACTCACAGCCGCTGATGGACAGCTTGCCCCAGCTCACCCTCTTGACCTCTGCTCACCCATCAGCCTTGCAGCTGTGTAGGGATTGAGATCACTCCTCCCTCCCAGCTATGAGACTCCACATCAGCTGGATACACATGGGAGGCACTGTTCATTACCAGCTTGTGACTCCGCAGATTGGATAACGCAATTAGCTGCATCCAAGCAGCCCATCTGCTCCACACCGTACACAGGAGCGTGCTTTGCAGCTCAGAGTGCCACATTCACAACCAAGCCAGCTGCAAAGCAGGTATCCCAACCCAGGAGATGAGGCACAGCAGCAAGGTAAGCAGGTGGCTGCTTCCCACCCTTATGGTGGGAACACGACTTTCCAGTGCTACTTCTGGGCCCCAGGAGAAGATCTCACCCCCTAACACAAGCCCCAGGTGAGGGAACAGAGCTCACGAGCCTGGGGAGGGTTTGCCTGCCAAACCCACCAGGTGCTGGGTAGAGCAACCAAGTGAATGCCACAGCAGCTCCGCAGCCATGCCCTTGCCTCGGCCGAGCAAGGAGCAGCACGGTGTTAGCTCAGCCCTCGGCGATGCAGAGGCTCCAGGCAGCTGCTTGCCAAGACACGGCGCACAAGGAAACCCAGGCGAGAGCTCTCCTTTGCCAGGCAGGTCCCTGGCTCACCCCCAGCACAAGTCCCATGAACAGTGATGCTGTGAGAGATGGGCTCCCTGCGGCTGCATCACTCCTGTGTCAACAGCAAGGACCAGTCCCTCCAGGTGCTGTGACCCCCCCGACCACACTGGAGACACAGACAGGATCAGAGCCACATCCAGCCCCAGCCTGCCTGGAGAGGGGCCACCAGCACACAGTCGCAGGGAGGATGCTACAATGGTCTATACACAACGGACCGGCTTCAACTACTTTGCGAGCGTAAGTCTTGGATTCAGCTGTCCTGGGCAGCTTCCCCCATGAGGAGCAGGGCTGCAGGGGCTCCGGGTGAGCTGCAGGGTCGGAGGGAAGGCCGTGGGGCAGGATCAGCTCGGCAGCAATGCCGGGAGGAGTCTCTGGGCCGAGGGGAGCAGGCGCCCAGTGTGCCCCAGGGTGCAGGGAGCCAGTGGCTGCCCCGGGCCAGCTCCACCATAAGGCAACTTTTTTTTTGTTGTTTTTAATTATTTTTTGGGTTTTTTTGTTGTTTTTTTCTTCAATAATATTTCCAAGGAAGAAAGCAAAGGGAGATGTGTCTTTAGAAAGTTTTTTTTTGTTGTTTTTTTGAGGGGTTTTGGGTATTTTTTTGTTGTTGTTTCGTTTTTTTCAAGGGAAAAGGAAGAGAAAAAAAAACCTCCAGCAAAGTCCTGTCTTTGCATGCGATGGGTGTTCCTGGGGCAGCTGGTGCACCGTCCATGCAGGCTCAAGTCCAGGTGACCTGCCGGCTTCCCACTAGCTGTCCTTGCAGGAGAGGAGTCAGAACAAGCCTATCCTTGGCAAAGGTCCTTTGGTTGACTTCCAAATTGTCCGTGACAGAAGGGAGAGAGGTGGGCAGAAGGAGAGCCAGACCCTTGGGAAGGCTGGAGGTGAAGACACTGGGAAGGAGGGACCAGGAGGACCAACAGGATGATGCTCCTGTTGCGGCGGAGGGGCACCGCCGTACATGGAATGGGACACGTCAGCCAGGTCATGGAGATCAGAGGCTCCGCAGCATCGCTGTGGCATCGGTCCCCCATAGGGAACCTCGCTCCTCCGAGCCTCCTGAGCGGGCTGCCCTGCGATGCGAGGGGGGACACGAAGGGGAGACGTTGGGGCCGCACAGAGCAGACTTGTTTTGGTAAACCCAGACAAACTTCTAGCAATAATTTAAAACTTGATATATATATATAATAATAAAAAAATCTCCCCTTTCTAAACCCAGCCAGAACGTGTTTGTTTGTTTGTTTGCTTGAAGAGACACTAAGACATGAGTGTGCGCACAGGAGGGGAGGGAAGGGAAAGCAAAGGGTTGGGTCTGCTGGGAGCGGGTCTGGCTCTGGTCATGGTGTTCTAATAGCAAAACGGTGTTTCAGATGCAGATCATCCTTGCTTTCCAGCCACAAGAGAAAAGAAATCATGTGCGTTGAAGGTTTCTCCAGAGCAGCCTATTCCTGGGCACCCACCTTCCAGCTCCCTTCCTGTCTCACCTCCTCACGTCTCCCCTTCTCCGAGCCAGTCCCCCACCAACCCACCCCATCCCCTGGCAGGAAGCAGATGCTGCAGCCTCTCTACTTCCCCACTGTCTGCGATTCTGCAGCCGCCGGGGCAGGGGATTGCTGGCTCAGGTTTTTGGCATCCTCTTGTGCAGGCTGGCTGGGTGAGGCGTGGGCTTGGCTGGATGGGCACTGGCTGACCGTTTTGCTGGAAGACTGGGATGGGTAGCGCTTCCTGCCATCGCCCCCTGACGTCGTTGGGTATCTCTTGTGTCCACCTTCCTCCCCCATGGGTGGCTGGAAGAGAAGCGCCACCCCAGGATCAGCACAGATTCCCCTTGGATCAAAGAACAGTTTTCCTGCAAGCTTCCAGTTGCAGCTTCTCTCCCTGACCCACAAAGAACACACGTGTCCACCCCAAGCCCACAGATGCCCTCCTCCCCAGTCTACTGCTGCCAAAGACAGACTGGCTTCTAATTAAGAACAATGGTGACAACTTGCTTCCCACCCAGGGGCACAGCCCAGAAGCCTGGGAGCCAAAGCTCCAAATGCCAGCTCCATTCAAGCCAAAGCTCACTTTTAACTCCCTCCTCAGCTCATACAGAAAGATGGGCTCATCCATGGGTCACTGCCCACAGCAGGGGAGTTGGAACTAGATGATCTTTAAGGTCTCTTCCAACCCAAACCATTCTATCATCCAGTTCTCCAGAGAGCTGTTCTGAAGTGGATCTGTAATAATATTCCAACCCTGCAGCTTGTTCTTGGCCGGGCTGCAATGATCGGGCAAGACACTAGGTGTCACTGACTTCCCCCAAATCCTCCATCGTTTGAGGGGGGCCAAGAGCTTTTGCAGGGGCCATCGGTGTGGTGCAGGCATTGTGGCTACTCACATCCACTCGGAAGTCCTCGAGGCGCTTGAACTTGCTGAGGTATTCTTGCAGTTTGCTGTTAATGTCCAGATTTTTGGCTTTGGAATACTTTAAGAAGGCCCAGAACTTTTCCAGCCCATAGAGCTGTCCTGGAGGGGAAGAAAACCAAACCAGGTATCAGAACGCTTTCCTGCAGGCTTCCCCACCACTTGCATCACAGACCCTCCTGTCCCACTGGTAGGCACAACTGAGGCAAGATGGAGAACCTGGAGGGAAGCAAACAACTGTAATGGGCAGCCCTCTTGACAGGGGATGCCCTGGTGGTGACAGAGCATTGGGAAATCCTAGAGGAACTGGTGTCTCTAGCAAAACATTTTGGGAGCTACAGCCTCTCATTGCTCTCTTCTATCCCCCCAGCAGTCTTCAGGATGATGAGCATCCACTTAACCCTTTACCATGAAGCAATAGGACGTCCAGCTGATCCCTGCTGCACGTGTTAATGTACAGTATTATGTGGCTTCCCCAAAGTCACAGGAAGAGGCTCAGAAGCAGCCATGCAGCTGGGACTATATTGCTGTCAATCCCAGGGGAAGGCCAAAAGAGGCACATACCAGCTTCGTAATCCTTGATGGTCTCTTCTTGAAAGTCCTTAAATATGTCTGGCCGGAATTTCTTCTCCAGCCCATAGCTGTAGTATCTGAAAAGGCACTCCAGACCGTACCTGGAACAGAGCAGCATGTGGTGCTCAGACACCCGAGCAGAGAGGCTCTTGAGGCAGAAGCCCTGCTGTGCACCAGCAGCAGGAGGGCACTGAGAGCAACCCAGTCCTACCTTGGAGCAAGGCAGAGATGCTGCCTTTGCTTTGCTGTGAGCCCTGCAAAAGGCTGAACCCTTCTTCTTCCCTCACTCCCCTCCCAGGAAAGGTGATTCTGCCCCTCCTCTCCTACCTGTATCCCTCCTTCCCGTCCTCCACAGCAAGTTGCTTGAACTCCTCATACATTTTCTTGTTGAAGTGATCTCGGAGGAAGAAGGACCAGAACCGGAAAAGTGTGTTCATCTCCTGGGACTGACCGATGCCCAGTCGTTTCCGCTCTGTTTCGGGAAGAGGGGATGGATGATCACAAGTTAGATCTCCCAGGGACCCAGCTCTTGCACAGGGGCTCATGCAGAGCACCCACTCCAGTGCTGGACACCCTGAGCCACCACCCATGCTCACCTAACACTGTGGTGAAACATCAGCTACCAGCAAGGTTGCCCTGTAGGACCCTACTCTTCTCCATGTGCTGGGAGCACAGACACCCTGCCCCACAGACCCCAGTGTCCCTACCGTTAAGGCAGCGCCGACGGTACTTGTGGTAGACGTGTTGTGTGAAGCCATTCTCCTTGAGCAGCTCGTGCGAAGGATGCTGGAACTTAGGCAGGGACTGCGGGGTGCAGCCGTAGCTTCCAACGGCCGGGGTCCCCTCCGAGGGGCTGGAACTGAGTATCAGAGGCTCCCATCAACACCCTTCCTTGGCATCACCCAACTGGCAGCGGAGTGGGGTCACACTCCACCCCACAGCACTTGCCTGGTGGTACCACTGACTCCCTGTGACTGCCCACTCTGGGTTTGGGACCTGGGCCATGGGGATATCCTAACAAGAAGGGAACTAATATTTCCAACTGAGTCTCATCTTGTTGTTCCAAGGCTTCAAACTTCCCTCCCTTCGGGAGGGACAAGTTGGGTCCTAATCCTTTCTGCAGCCACCTAATAGAAGACCCCCCCTGCAAAATCAGGGACCTTTCCTTAGTGGCATGGTTTAGTGGTGGACTTGGCAGTGCTGGGGTAAAGACTGGACTCAATGACCTTAGAGGTCTCTTCCAACTGAGCTGATTCTATGAGTCCAAGATCAGAGCCTGCTTTTTCCCCTTCCTTCCCACACTTACTCCCCTTCCCATTTCTAGCTCCTCCATGATCACATAACACCCATCTCTGGTACCTGATGGACGCAGTTCGTGGCCTGTGCTCCCGTGAGTCCATCACCCAGCCCACGTGGCACTCCATCGGAGGGTTTGAGCTGTGCCTCGTCTTCCTCTTCCGTGGAGTCTGCAAGACACAGTGCATCAGGGATGTGTCCCCTTTCTCACCAGGACCCAGTTGGGAAACCCCATCTCCCACCCCACCACCCAGCCCTGGTCCCACCTTGGCATCTATCGTCCTTCCCTCTTTCACCACTGGGTAGAACCGGGGCGTCTGTGTTGGGTCCTTCAGCTGAGGCGTGCGAGGGGTCCGGGGGGTCCTGGCGTTGCGGTAGTTGGGTGATTCTGGTACAGTTGTAGGCAAAGACCGGGCGATGGTTGAAGGTTCAGGGACTCCAAACAGCTTGTTAGCCAAAGCGTCTGTGGGTACTGCAGAGAGAAACCCCCCCCACCACGAGTCAAGCTGAGCTCTGAGCATGAGAGCATCACTACCGCCAAGGGACATCCATCTGGCAGCTGGGAAGCAGCAGACAGGAACAGAGAATCATCCTGGCCCTCTGAGCCAAGCAGCTTCAGGTCCAGCATGCCACCAGCTTGGCCACACAGCCCAAAGCCTAGCAGCAGATCCTAGGACTGAGCTCTCAGGGATCCCACAAGGTATCTGCTTCCCAGTGGTGAACACCAGCAACAAATCCCCCCATTCCCAAGAGAAGGTGCCAGGCACAGACAAACAAAACCCAGCAGGCAGCTGCCTTCCAGTGAAAGTCACAACCAAGGAGCTACATCAAAGCCTGCCAAGGTTTCCTCACTCAACTGGGACGCCCCTGCTTTTGGGCCTCCTCTTCTGAAGCCCCAAAACATTCAAGCTGTGAGAAAAGCGCTGCTCTGGGAAAGATAATCCCACAATTCCTGTGGTCACAATTCCTTCTCCCCAGCTGGTACCCAACCTCTGAGGGCCTCTTACCAGGAGGAACAGGGACAAAGTCACACTTGGCTCTTACCTTGCTGGAACCTGGGGGGACCAGGAGGGACTTCCTGGTTTGGATCCACCGGGGGCTCTGGGGTCAAGGTGTCAAACTGCTCCCTGCTGATCATGTTCACCTTCTTGAAGTTCTCCACCTCTTGCTGCATTGGAAGAGGAAGACGATGAAGCAACCAATTGCCCTCTTTTCCCCTTATCCCATCAGTTCATCATGACCCCTCTCCCCACACTCTCAGCTTCTACCATCCCAGAGAGAAACACTGCTTCCTCAGTGTGCCAGGTCCCAGTCATGGGAATGCTGAGCCCAGCTGATAGCTCCAGCACCCACCCCACCTTGCAGCCAAAATGATTTCCGTCGCTGAATATGTGTAGCTAAACCCCCAACTGTGAGAGTCACCAAGCTGGAACTCCAAGGCTTCAAAGCAGCAGATGGGCTTTCTATGAAAAGCTCAAGTCTGTGCAAACTGGCACCAAAATGGGGAAGAACTCAGGCAAAGTGCAGCCCATCCATCTCTGAACCAGTAAGTGCAGTCTCCAAGGGACTGTGCCATAAAGCACTGGTCACTATGGACAGTGCAGTGACATCCAATTTCCCCCACAGACCTGGCACTGCCTGCCAAGACCCTGGCAGCAAACGGAGCAATGGGCCCCAAATCATCTCTTTATTGCCACCCTGTTTACCTGGCTGCAGCCTTACAACCATGTTACAGAGCTGTGTTTATCCCTGATACAACAGAACACGATGCTGGGAGCCAAGAATCAAGCTCTGCAAGAGGACTAATTCCAGCTTAGCTCTAACCCATCCCACACCAAGGCAGTCAGCCTCCTGCACACGTGCCTTCCTACACCCCCCACACACTCCCTTCCTTCAATCAGCTGCTCTCACCTTAATCTGCGAATACTCTGGCTCAAACTGCTCTGTCCACAGGTCCTGCTCATAGTAGTACAGCCCATCGTTGATGACCTTGGCCAGCTCCGAGCTCATTTTAGCCCTGGATGTGTGGTTGCCAGTCCGGTCCCCACCAGGATGCCGGCGCAGGTAGGGAGGTGTCTGTGTCACGATGAGGATCTTGTTTACATCCCGGTCATCAATCTCGTAATCAGAGTCTTCGTCTGACCAGTCGGTGAAGGTGTTCTTGCGGCCGTCCATCTGCTCCATCTCCTCATCAAACAGGAAGTCTAGCTCCTCTGGTTCATCTTGGTCCTTCTGCTTTTGCTGCTGCGGTGTCTTTGACTCCTCTGGCTTCTACAGGTAGGGGTACAAGGGTGACAAAGAGTAAACACCACACAGTGACACAAGCATCCTGCTTGGAGACACAACTATTGACCCTTGTTTCTCTACTGCAGTCAAAGCTGCTCATACAGGGAGAACACCTTGTTTACACCACTGAGTATCAGCTGCAAAGTGGGTCAAGATGGGTCCAGGATAGACCTAGGACATCACTCCCATGATAAACAGACCCTATCTGATTTGAAACCTGCCTACTTATGATTCATTCAGACAACTGGGAGACCCCCCCAACCCAACAGCACCTACATCAGCACCTACCTTGGGCCTGGCCGGCGAGGGCCGAGGTCTCTTCTTCACTTCAATCCATGTCTCTGAATCCAGGTCTGGCAGACTTGTGGACAGGCCCTTGGGCATTGTCTTCAGGTTACTGACCTCCTCTGTTTTGGTGGGGACTGGGCTGGCAGCACGTGGGGAGCCAGGAGCAGACTCTAGAGCCAACAAGAGACACAAGGTGCTTTAGAGGAAGGAAGGGAGCCTGGGGAAGTGCGTAAAACACTCGACCAAAGAGGGAGTTATTCTGGCAGCATGGCACAGCTTGATCCCCTCCCAAAACTAAGTCTTACAACAGCACCAAGGAGATTGTTCATTTGACCTCTTGGGCCCAGCCCTGGGATCCTGACAGCCCATAGAAGACAGCAGACCCTTCCCCTGCAGTCAGCTGACAGCTCCATACCTGCTGCCCTATCTGTGCTCAGCATCTCCTCGTCCATTAAGGAAAAGGTGCATCTGTGAGCACCCTCTGCTCTGCCCAGCAGTAGTAGAGTATTTCTAGGCACAGCCAAGAGACTTCCAGCAGGACTAACTCCTCCCTGAATCCCTTCAGCCCCCCCCCAGAGTCAGTCTCTTTCATGTTTCCCCACTTACAGAAGCAGCAGTGCTCTGGAAGTCTGAGGATAAAGCCCATACCAGCTTGCACCACCAAGCGGAAAGCAAACTTTGGCTGGGGAACACCCCAGACTCTCGGGGTCTCAGTCCTGCTGCAGTACCAACGCTGCATCCCACACCTCCCTCCACATTCCCCAGTGCCCACCTGTCTCTTTCTGGAAGCTTTGCCGGGGCACGAACTCAGGGCAGTTGATGAACTGTGAGAAGTCAGTCTGTGTGTAGTCTGCCATAGGGGGGCCAGGCAGAGCCCATTTCTCTGGCTGCTCTTTTCTCCTTATTTTCTCATCCACAATTTCCACCACCTTGCTGTCCTTCAGAGCCTGAAACCAAGGGATACCTGGTTAATTTATAGCCCTACCTTGGCACACTGAATGGCTCATCCCCAGCCCTTCCTCCCTGGGAGAAACAAGAGGAGGAGGGAGCAAGGAAAGGACAAGGGAAGACTCCACTAGCATCTCTAACACAGCCCATCTAGAAAGCAGGCCTCAGAGAGGGATGGCAAGAAGGAAAGTTAATCTTTCCTTGCCCTCACCTTGATGATGAGGCTGATATCAGTGGTCAGCGCCTGCACCCGGTGGAAGCTGGCGATCAGGGTGATGGGAAGGAAACCATCCGAGTCCATCTTGCGGCGCAGGAAGAAGTCTCGCTCCAGGTTGTCCACACTGAAGTAGTACTCACTGTATGGACAACACACCAGTGTCAGGCAGCTCCAAGCCATCTTCCTCTGGACACCCCATAGGAAGTAATCCCCCCACTTCTGCTACTGCAAGGCTGACAGGAGAACCTGTGGAGCCCAGACTTGGGGCAAGCTGGTGCTCTAAGGTGTGTGGCACAGAGGGCTCTAACCCTACCCACAGGATGAACTACACAGACCCCAGGGAGGACCTCTGTGAACATTCCAACCATCAGAGAAGGAGAAGAGGTGGTGCTTACATCTGCCGCTTGATGTAGTCTTTGAGTAGCTCCTGGTCCACACTGTAGAGCTCAGCACTACTGATGTTGTCAAAGTAGTAAGTGATGTTGCTGGCGTACTTCTGCGTGCGGGAGCCATCCGAGCCCTCGAATTTCCGGTACCCATACTGGTAGTCAAAGTGCCCTGTGGGACACCAGGAAGGATCAGCACAGAGCTCCTAGGATCTGCCAGACAGGACTAGACTCGCACACAAATAGCTCCCTCTGCGCTGTTCCTGGGGCCCCACGGCAGCCCACAATGGGACATCACCCACATCCCTCATCCTCCTGCTCTCAGCCTTTGCCATAGAAGGGATCTCAGTGAAGTTTCAACACACCAAGCCAAAGAGAGGCCAGGAATCCTCTTACCCAGGAGCAACTGGGCAGCCCAGATGGCACATACAGACCATACACTGAAGCTGTGCTAAGGTTAGACGCTACCCTGTCAAGTGCCAGTGCAGATGCTTCCCCATCCAAGCCATGACTCCTGCTTCAACTCCTCCATGCAGGAGTACTACAGGGGACATCAGGTGGAAGAGCTTGGCCTGAGCAGCAGAAGGGCATCTGCCTTTATTAGAATACTAGAAAGAATAATTTGCTTTCATTAAAATCAGCTCAATTTACCAGCTGGGATGACCTGCCACAGTACTTCCCTGTATCCCTACAGCGCTCTGCCCTTCCCAGCCTGCTCTGGAGCCCCAGGTCTCACACACACACACACACAGAGCCATGCACACTTCAGCACATGCTCCCTGCTGCCTCAAGAGCACACATCCAGGGATCACCTCCTCTGCCCCGGCCACGGCCCCTGCCGCGGCCCCGGCCTCTGCCCCGGAAGGTCCCTCGCACAGCTCCTCCCTCGCTCTTCACGCTGGAGGTTTCATCATGGTCCTGCCAGCTGCGCTCGTGCTTGTTGTCCGGGTGCCAGCCTGCAGCAGACAGGGAAGGAGGGGCAGGAGGAGTGTTACAGTGTGAAAACACCCTCCTGGAACAAGCCCACTGCACCCAGAGTGCTTTGAATGCAGGAAGGGTGCCCGCTGTGCCATGCCTGGGCACCAGGGCTTGCTCTGCCTCGTGGCCAGGGCAGGGAGAGGGGTCCCCAGGCTGAGCCCCCACCTTTGAGCTCGCTGCGGTTGTTGGAGGGGTGCCTGTGCTGCTCGTTTTGCCGGTTGTTCCGAGAGGCTGTTTTGTCCCTAGGCACCTCTGACTTCATGTCTATCTGCAAAGGGACCCACTTGTGTTTGTTGCCTGCAAAAGGACAGGGTTTGGGTGTGACACAGGTTCAGAGAGAGTCTGCTTCATCCCCACAGCCCCATCTTGTCATACAGGCCCCACACGTGGAGGGGAGAAAGCATCAGGGCCTTTTGGAGCGACCCTGTCCTCAGACATCCCTCCAAGCCTTACTGGATGGAGAAAGTCTCCAATGAGAACTCTTGGGCATGGAGGGACATGGCACAGAACTCCCCTGCTGCTTCACTGCATTTGTCCTTCTGCCCCCTTCTGCTCATTGAGGCTCAAGCTAGGCTGAGCCCATGTGTCACCCATGGCTGATGCAATCCAGTCAGGGAGTGTACTGTGCCTCCAGAGTGCACATGGAAGGGTAGACCAGTGCCACACTGAGACATTCAGCCCCCCCACTTGGGCCCTGCTCCACCATAATGACACTCAGCCCCCCTTGAAGCCTGCAAACACTGTCCCTGCACTGGGACCATGTCCTGCAGCAAGGCCCCCAGGGAGGACAGTGGATGCTTCCACCTACTTGAGAGTCACAGAACAGGGGACAGACTGTCCCAATCAGGTCCTGCCTTACCTTTCTTCTTCTGGGCTGACTTCTGGTTGTCATCGTCACCATTCTTCTCCTCCCCAGATTCATCCGATTTGGTTTTCAGGCTCTCTTTGCCATCACTCCCATCTCCTTTCTCCTGCTCTTTCATGTCTTTCTTGACAGGCAGCTTCCGAAGGGATGGTGCTTTATGTGGCTGCTGGAGACACACCAGTGGAGGAAGATGTGAGCGGCGGGAGAAATGAAATGCTGGAGGCAGACCTCAGCTGGCCCAGCAGCAACAGGAACCAGAGGACCCTGCCCTAGGCTGGAAGCAACCCTGTTCCTTCCAACCCCTCCTTCCTTCCAACCCTCTCCTTCAAGAGACGGTCTGTTCCTGGCAAAGAGCAGGGCAAGGGCCTCCAGAGAAGCTGGGAAGTGCTCAAGCTCAGACACAAGCCCCAGGCATAGAAGTTACTAAGATGGACTGCCAGGGAGTTCTGGTGCTCCTGGACAGTTATCCTGCAAGGGACCAGACTGCCCCAATGGCAAAAGGGTGAGTGAACCCCATGCCCTGACAGACAGCCAGGAGCTAACAGAGCAGCATTTAAAAATAGAAAGGTTTCAATGACACCCATGTCTGGAGCAGGAGAAGGCCATGCCCCATGGGCACACGAGACCCTTCTCATGCATTCTCTCCTATAGAAGACTTCTGCCCAGGCCCCTTCTTGCACTGAGCACCCTGAGGAGAGCGGGTCCAGGAGCTGCCTTACCTGCTGCACCCAGCCCAGGGATTTAGACAGGGCTCCAAGCTCCCAGAATAGCACTGAGGGAGGGAGCGGGACAGACAGAGCAGCCCTAAAAGGAAATCCCCTGCATGCTATTCCTGGCTGCCTCTGCACTGACACTCAGCACCCCAAATGGCCCGAGCTCAGCCAGTGCTTCCAGAGGGACGGGGAGGTCTGCAAGGGCCTCATCCTGCTCATCGGAGCAATTCTGTGTTCTCACCTGGACGCTCTTGTGGGCTATCTCTCCTGGTGTCGGCCAGTTTGTGGCATCACCAAAGTCACCAACCTTGTAACCAAAGACAAAGGTTTTGTTAGTGCACAAACTGCAGATGCCATCAACAGCCAGAATCCCTTCCACCACCTACCACCATCCTGAAGATGGGTATCCCAAGTTTGGGGATGCCATTCGAATACATATATACACACAGACCCTGTCCCCACCCAAGCAGGGACCCAAATCCATCCTAAATAACTGCAGACAAATTTAACGTCTATAAGGGGTTGTACTGAGGCTGCCAGCAGCTCCGTAAACTACCAGCTTCTCAGCTGCCACCATTTTGCCCCAACAGCAGTATTTGGCACCAAGTTGCAGAGGTTAACTCACTCATCACAAGCACTATCCCTTGGACAGTGAAAGCACACAGCTTTCAGCATCCTAAATCCACCCGAAGCAACTACATCCCATTAAAGAAGCTGCTTCCACCTAGTGGCAGGTGACAGCCCGGCACAGCTTCACTTCAGTGCCCAACTCAACAAAGGGCTGACACTAACAAAGCAAAGGGATCATAGAGTAGAATTGGTAAGAAAAGTCATGCAAGTGTCTGATGGTGATGGGTGCTCCCTCATTCCAGACACATCAGGGACCACCAGTCACTTCTCTGCTAAATGACCTGGCCACTACCATAATGCCTACCTCTTCCAGGTTTCAGAGAGGACCTGCAGGACACAAAGGACCTAAATAGTTGCCCAGACACACCATGAACCACAGCTGGGCACTGAGTTGATGTGGTCACAGAAACGCCTCCTTCCCCTTGTGGGGTTATTAGTTCTAAGCTAATTTGGAGCCACTGAGTCCCTTGGATCACATCTCTACATGCAGGTGCCATGCTCCTCTCCCCACAAGGCAGGTGTCCTTGGAAAACTACTGTTTCAGCCAGGAGCACCTGCCATCCCAGGACCCTCCTCTCCCTGATGTGGTACAGATAAGGAAAGCCTTATCAAGTTTTAGATAGGTCTTCACTGGCTGTTGGGAGCCAAACCAACAGCCCGTGTCCCTGCCTGTACCCCAGCTGCATGCAATATCCTCTGAAGCAACTGTCCCTCCATCACATGCTGATCCCTGGAACAGATTGCCCTGGTTCCTCCAAAGCAGTCGAATTGTTTGAAATCAATTACCCTGACTGTCCATGTGCCAGGCAAGAACAGACTGCACAAGAAAGGACCTGCAGACACACTGCTCCACCACACCACCACCCTGGCTGCACTGAAAGCAGGGCATTGGCTAAGCTCCCAAGGGATTTGTGTGGAGGGGAGAGGGTTTCCACATCAAGACTGTGCTCCAAGTGCCTCCCTGTGAAAGCTGAGGTGAGGTCTCCCTGGCCTAACTGGGCAGAAAACTAGTCCAGGCAGCATTCAAAAGCATTAAAACACTGAAGAAGAGATGGAGAATCAGGATGTTCTTCTTGCAAGTGGCCAGGCCAGTACATAAACCCTCCACAACCAGGCATGCGATGTGGTCTGCTCATGTAGCACTGCCAAGGGCACCAGGAGCTGGAGGCCAGCAACGGAACAGCAGACACAGCCTTACCTTGCTTCCCTTCCGCGGTCTCGGGTTGGCAGCCCTCACCACCTTCGCAGGAGTTGTATGTTCTGCAAGAGGAAAACAAAACTGTTAGAACACAGCTGAGGGTTGTGGAAGTGTTAGCCCTGGAGGAAACAAAGGGTGCCCAAGAGGGAAAGCTGAACAGACAACAGAGCCAGCTTCTGACCTGGATCTCAGAAGGGCTGCAGCAAGATCAGAACACTTCTGATTCATCTAAATGGCCAAGAAATGGACCTTTACCCCCATCCTGCCACAGGAAGGCACTCCCTGACTCAAGCTCAGCCCTCCCTACTTGGCCTTGCCAGCCAGGGAGGAGGGGTGGCGAGAAGTTCAGCTCCCTCTGTGAAGCACCAGGCAGAACTTGATCTGCTGTTATGCACAGCAGAACAAACATGCCTTGAACAGGAAAGGCCCATCACCACCAGTGTGGCCAACCCTCCCCAAGGGAGGGGAGAAGGGCTCTGACACAGGGACGCACATGGGTGTTGCTCAGCTCGTGCTTTGATCTCTAGTGCATCCCAGCACGGGGCAGTGAGTTCATGAGAGGGAATGTACAGAGAGAAGCCAGACCTGGGAAGTGTTTCAATCCTGCTACAGGCAAGAGTATTTAGGCACTTGAGTGCCTTCAGGGAGTTGTAAGTAAGAGTGCAACTGCTGGGGTCTGCACCACTATGGACTGTAGTAAGTCAAGACCTCAGCTCTACCATGATGTGCCTTGCTTCCTGCTCCCACACCACCTCCTTATAAGCAGGAAGAGAAATCACGGCTCAACTTCTCCGTCCTCCTAGGGTTGGCTGCAAGCTCTGCAGATGAGGCTCACACAGAATCCAAGAGAGCAGCACACCACTCAATACAAGAGGAGAGCCCGCTGGCCCCTGCCTTAAGGGGTATTTCTGCTGACTCCCCTGGTTCAGAAGACAAGCACCCAGGACTGGGGTGGGAGGTGACGGTGGGAGAAAGGTGAAGAGCCCTGAGGGATGGCAGAGGCTATGTGGGGATGTCCCAGGAAACACACTGAACCACCTACCCAGCCCCACTCAAAGGTGGCTTTGATCTCCTGTGTAAGGAAGGACAACTTTGCCTAGATGATCAAAACCGGCCCCTTGCTAGCCTGGAAACCTGTGATTCATCCTGCCAGCCCAGCCTTGCTCAGGGCTGCGGGCTTTGAAGTGTCAGCAAGGCAGAGTCAGCCATGGTAGGACGGAGCCACGTGCGCTCCCCTTCCCCAAGGTTCCCAAATGGGGATTCCACCCCCAGGAGACACCAAAGCTCTTAAGATAGGTCCCTGAATCTTCCCCTTTCCCCAAGAGCCTCTCCCCATAAGCAGCATCAGTCCCATGTGTCCCTCACTTATTCCACGTGCACCTCATTGAGAATCCCAGCTCCACAGCACAAAGCTTGCCACGAGGCTTTTAAACTTCCCTGTTAGTGTAGGAAGAGCGAGCACTTTCCAAACAGCCCCTAAAATCCTCCACTCAACACCCACAGATGTCACCTACTAAATATAGCTCCAAAAGGCACCCAGTGCTACAGCACAAACCCACAGCCAGCCTGCTTTTCCACAGGTATGGAACACCCCTGCTTGCTCCTACAGCACTGACATGCTGGCACTGCAGGGAAGGAGAACTGAACTTGCTCTGCAGGCTGATCAGACACCCATCTTAAGGCTGGGGGAGAGCAGGGCTCACTGCAAGCATCCCACCCCAGTGCCTGCTCCCTCTACACTGCAGCCCCAGCCTTCACATCAACAGCATCCAGCCGTTTTCTCCAGCTGCTTTCAGTTTCGAAGCCTCATGGCCATCGATGTTCTTCTGAGGGTCCAGGCAAAGAGAGTACCTCTCACAACCCCTAGTGAAAGAGGCACACACAGGCTGCAGGGGTGGGTGCCACAGACTCTATGTCTTTGTGGGGGAGGAATGAGATTGTTTGAAACAAGTTCTGCTGCTTTCCTTATCTGCAAGATAGGAGCAGGGATCCCTTATCTAGCCGAGGTGCTGAGAAGGCTCATTAGCATCTGCAGAGCGCTGCAAAGACAAAACACAAAGCAAAGCAAAGGGCTGCAGCCTGGCAGGGAGGCCAGGCCAGCGCCAGGGCAGGGGCTGAGGCACCTCTCAGCACTGTGGATGGAGTCAGGATCTGCAAGTCATGGTGGAGAGCGCTCAGAGCAAGGTGGGAAGCTGAGGGTGTGACCGTGCTATGGACAGAGTCAAAAGCCACGGCCTGTAGAAGCTGAGCGTGCCTGGCACTCCCCAGGGCACAGCAGCCTAACCAAGGGCCCCCAGGCTCCTGGCCATCAAACCCAAAACCGCTCTTCATGTCCCCTTGCAGAGACTGAAGCAAACCCAAGTGTTTAACAAACCAACCCCAAAACATGTTTGGGCTAATCCAGGTGCTCATAAACCTTCCTACAAGGACAGGAAGTTATCTTGTGTTCCAAACCCCACTGGCCTTCATCACTGCATCAACTTGGGCAATAGGGAGCAAGTAGGTGATGCGCACCCCCCTCCAGTAGCTCGGACAAGGAGTGCTAGCAAGGGATACTTAGCCCTGGCTGATAGCTGAGCCCTTAAAAGCTGCTCACAGATGTCTCAGACCTCCCGGCATCTCACAAACCTCCTTTGCATCTATTTGGTGCAACCTTCAGTTGCACTAACACTGCCTGACTGCCCTCCCCTCAAAAAACAAGGCCCTTCTGTGCAAGAGGACAGACAAAACAGCTACAGCAGGAGCCAGCGCTTTAGTGCTGCGAGGCTGGCAAGAAAACAGCGGGCAGGGAAGGAAGGAGCAGCTTTGCCTGCAGCCACAGAGCAGCTGCTGGCACAGCCACTAACAGAAGAGCAGGTTTTGATCTGCTGCCTGCAGCCAGAACCAGAACCTTTGCCCATGGGGTTGCCCAGCCATGAGATTATGTTTTAGCAACCAAGGGGATGAGGCAGAGGTGGGAGCAGCCCAGCCCCATGCCAGCACTGCAGCCAAACCCCTCCCGTGGCCAGGGCACAGCAGGAGCATTCCTTGGCTTTTGATGCTCGATATCCAGTGAGCAGGGCGATGCTGTGCAGACTCCTCATGCTTCCCTTCCAGCACAGCACAGCAGCCCTCCAGGCAGGAAGCTCAAGGGGGTGACCAAGTGAGCCAATACCTTGTACCTGGAAGGAAAAGAGCTGTTGCACAAGGACCAAACAGGGTGACAGCAGCTCCACAGCTATATGTGTTATCCCTTCACACATGCTGTAGGACCACTGAGCTTGGCCCAGGAGATCTATCTACTACCTCACCTGGGAAAATCAAACCCAGTGATGCCAGCCCATTTCCCTGCCTCTTCTTGTACCTAATGCAGCTTCTAATGGGTTTGTAGAGAAGGCAGTGAAGAGGAGGAATAAATCTGCAGGGCTGGCGTTACACTGCAGAAATACCTGCACCTCTGTAGAAAGCTGTAGTGCCTGCTCCTGGTGTACCACAACAGACAAGGGCCCAGAGCTCCACAGCACCAGCTGGGACAGCCTCAGAGGGCAGCCCAGGTTCATGCAGGCTGCTCAGCTCCGGCTCTGCCCTGACACAGCAGAGCCCTCCTTCCCCACAGGACAAGGTGCTGGTGAAGGCCATTCTGGGGCCAAGAGCCTGGACTTTCCGCTGGGGAGGCCAAGGCAGGGCGCATGCTCCATGTGTCCTGCTGGGAATGGTAGAGCTGAACTGGTATTCCCCGAGCGTGCTGTGTGGGACAGCCGGACACGCGCCCTGAGGTCCAGTGGGATCCACTTCACTACCCAACAGCCTGAGTGATCCCTTCTCCTTCCCATGCTCCAGGGGACAGTCCCAGCACACAGGAGGATCACAGCTCATAACCAACATGATGGACACCGCTTCTTCAAGGGCTTTAGGCGAGGAAGAATAAGTGCAGCTCAGGCAAGGGTCTGAGCAGTCTGGGCAGGCTGCAAGGGGAATACTGTCCCAGTCAAAGTGACACAGCAAGGAAAAGTTCCTGCATTAACCTCCTGAGAAACAATGGACACCCAGGTATGACAGCTTGTGAGAGAAGCCAGAAACCATCAGACAGCTTACACTGAGGAGGAGTACTACTTGCTCACAACTACATATACACACTCATTGTCCAGGCAGAGAACATCAGCCTGGGAATTAGCTGTTTCCTTGGAGATAGCCAGAGCCTTTCCAGGAGGGTCCCTCCTGGGGTACAACACACAGGAGGGACACGGTGGGACAGCACCAATCTGCAAAGCAATTCCTGTAGGAAAGAGGGACTCAGCAGGCAGCCAGAGCCAAGGCTGCAAGGCCCCCACTATGCCTGCAAGAATCCCCTTGCTCGTCTCAGAGGGGACCCCAATGCAAAACAGCTGCACAAAGGCACATCCCCACCTTGCCACCATGGGAAACTCAGGGCACCAGCCCTGCCTCAAGCAAGCTGTCCAACAGGGCAGCCTGACCCACACAGCAGCAGGGACAAGACACTGATTCAGGGGCTCTCCTGTGGCACTCATCACTTCCTATGCATTCACACTCCATGACTTGGCATTTCGGCCTGACTGAGCCATCAGAGGACACAGCTGGTGAGCTTCATGCCCACCAACACTACACCTTCTCCAGAGACATTTGCAGAGTCAGTCATGCAGACCAGATGTGACCTGCAAACCAATAGCAGCCTTCCCCCTCCCACCAGCAGCCTCCTGTGGCTGCTGTACCCAGTTCTTCATCAGCAAGACAGCAGCAGTGGCAGCACATCCTTACTGTAAAGGTGTTGGGAGGCACAGGCAAACAGGAGGGAATTCAGTCTCTGCAGGTAGCAGCCCTGCATGCAGAGAGGTGCTGATACCCCCAGAGACCAAGCAGCATCTTCCACCTGTGTGGGCCTCCAAGGAGCTGCTCCCAGCACCAGCTTCAGCCATGTGTGAGAACTAATGCCAGACTGAGATGGGAAATGCTTTCCTCTGCATCTCCATGCACGAGCCTGGGATTTACAGCACTGACTGCTTGGCATGCTCACATTTTATCGAAGACATCCTAAAGCACATAAACCCCAGCAAGGATCAGGGCA